CCAACATCTGGATCGAGGCAGACATATTTGTTGGAACTCCTGATTTGCGCGCTCGGTGTTTCTCCAAAGTTCCTCCAGACTCAGTGGCTGTTGAACTACTGTGGGAGGTTGAGCAAAAATAGGTGCCTGCTGCGGACAATGAGGGGGTCTGAAAGTACTGTTGTTGAGGATAGAATCCCCCTTGATTATATTGTTGCGCAACGAACTGTTGCGGCTGTTGAAATTGTTGCTGAGGACGCGGTCTAGCGGGCCCTTGAGCATGCCCTTTATGATATTGCTGGAATTGAGAAGCATTTTTATTTTCCATATAAAAAACCTCCGCTGGGTTCTGAGTTTGCTTAGATGAGCTCTCAGCAACCTGCGGGCTCGATTGATTCACATAGGCGCACTCCTCAGTGACCGTGGTCTCATTTACTGCCTGTTTTCCTTTGTTACGTAGGTCCTGCTTCACGAGCTGAAACAGGTCCTTAACTTGAACTGACAAGCTGTCAATCCGTTCATCTTGTGAAACTGACACAGGAACCTAGTAAAGACCCCTCGATGGCTCCGGCCTGTTGGTCTCTGGCCAACTAGTCTGATTGGTTGCTATCATTTCTATCAAAGCCCTCGCTTCTGAGGGACACTGCCCCATCAGCGAGCTTCCTGCTGCTACATCCAAGGATATCCTTAGTTCTTGAGTGATTCCTAAATAGAAAATCTGAAACTCCATGAAGTCAGGGATCTCATGATAAGGGCAGTTGCGGAGCAATTGCTTATAGTGGTTCCAAGCTTTGGGAAGGGTCTCATCACTCACCATCTTGAAGCTTAAAATTCCATTCCTCTGGCTAATGGTCTTCCATACATTATGGTATTTGCTTATGAAGGCCTGCGCTGCTTCCTTAAAGGTGGTTGGAATGGGGGTAGAGATTATCAAACCATTTCCTGGCCTCTCATGTCAAAGAAAAGAGAAACAGTATTAACTTTGCAGCATCCTCCGTGATGCCATGTGATTTGGAGGTGGCAGCGATCCTGTTGAAGTTCTGTAAGTGCTCGTACGAGTTTTCATTGAGCAGCCCATGGAATTGGATCCGGCTTGCCAGGTTGACGAGCGCTAGCTTCACCTCATAGTGGCCGAAGTCTCTGGGTGTAGAACTTGTAATTAGTATATTATCAAGGAGGGACTGATAGTGAACGTCCATGGGGACTTCAACAAGCGGGCGATCAGCAGCCCTTTGTCCCTCGTGCCTCTGGTTAGGCTCAGCAGTAGATGGAGGAGGAGCGATGATGGCAGGTGTCGCAGCGGCGTTGGTGGCTTGAGCTGCTTGGGAAGCGATAAATGCCCGTTAAGCAGCTTGAACCTTCTCCACCTAGATGAGGTGCGTTGTAGTCCAGCCATCCCTTGCTGAATGTTGTCGAGCGCTCTCATGAGCTGTTTCTCAGTCGGTGTCAGCGCATGGGGAACAACGGTTAGAACTACAGAGGGGATGTGGAGCGGCACCTCCTTCGACGATGCTGATGTGGCCGAGTTTAAAGAAGTCCCAGCGGCAGTCTGGAAAGCTGGGACGGCAATAGAGGGAGCGGTGGCATTGCCTTGGTTCGCCATAATCTTTTCTCTAGTTAACTCTCTGAACAAACGTCTCTGTGAGCCAGAAGAATGAGTGGGACTAGTAGAATGCTGAAAACGCTTTAGACCCCTACATAAAGATAGACATACCAAATGAAAAAGTTAGGATTATTATTAGCAAAGACAAAAAAAAAAAAAATAGAAAACAAAATTACAGAATTTAAAGGTAATTTATGGCGCTTCAGAATATCTTAACAAGATTTAATTTCTTAAGTTTAAAATCCCCGGCAACGGAGCCAAATTTTGACAACCATTTTAGGTATTTATTCAAATACAGAGAATTTTGTTCGAAGATTGGAAAGTAAGGAATTATTGTGAGCGATCAGATATAGTAAAAATTTGTGGTTGTAGACCCTGAATCGTTATCATAATTATTTATACTCTTTGACTGGTGAGTTTCCAGGTCGAACACAGGAATTTTAAGTCGCGAATTTAAATTAAGTATTAATCTAATGAAAGCGGCAAAAATGCAGTAAAAGGGCCCGCTTAGAAAGCTGAATAGAAAAGCGGTAAAAAATGAACGGCGATGAGCGGAGCGGTGGTAAGCGGACAAGGTGCCAGTGATAGGTGAGCGATAGGAACATGAGCGGATGGCACAACATATACTTATATAGATTGAGCGGTAGAGAGTGATGAAGAGGTGTTGTGTCTGAACTGCACGTTACTCAATGGCTAGGTTTTCCTAGATGAAATGAGCGAGCGATGATGGTGTTTAATCGAAACATAAATGTATAATACGGAAGCGGTAGGAAGGGAGTAATGTAAGTATATAAACCAAATTATAAAGAATTTTGATCGTTGGTATTTGACCTTAAGGGAGTTACAACAAGACTTCAATGACACTCAGAATCAGAACATTATAAAAAAGAAACCCTACCATCATTAGGAGTTTCTGCGACCCAATAGACCACTGCCTATGTCCCATTAATTATCCCAAATTTTGCCTCATTAGTGGCTTTACCCTTTTGTTACCTCTTTTCAATCAAAATTGAATTCAAACCAGTAGTTAAGTAGGTCGAAAAGGCACTCATGTACTCAACTACATTCAACTACCTTGAATTTGTTTATGACAAAAGACAAGGCTTGGATAGTCAACCTTTCTGTGCTCTTTACCAGCGAAGTGAAATTCTTTACAATTAGGGTTTATATAAATGTGAAAAGTATGAAGGAAGTGATAATGAAGAACAAATGATATTTCATTACTTACTACCAAAGCTGGAATTTCTAATTCTACAAAGACTGTAATTAAAGGGATAAACTAAATTAAGTAAGCAGTAAAGTGGTGGCCAAGGGAGAAGAGAAATCTCAACTCCTCTCGCCATTCATGTGGAGAACTCCCTTACAGGGTTGGAGCTCTCGGGAAACAGGAAGACAACTAGAATGCGCAAAAATAAATGCTAGTATACTTCTCTCAAAGTATATTTTACATACAGATATCCGGCTCTATTTATAGCGGGTAAAAGTAGCGGTTGCAAGCAGTTACAAAGTGGTTTCAACCGATAGATATTTAGGCAGTTGGTGGCGGTTATTCTGTTGAAGCAATTGCTGGCCATAACTCCCAGGGTACTTGTTTCGCTTGTGTGAGCTTGTAAGGGCGCAAATCTTCCTTGCTTGTTGGATGGCTGGAGGGCATTAACGTAGTTAAGCGGGCTTGCTTGTGCTGGCTAGTAGTGGAATGACTGTACCGCTACGGGTTGGACACTTAGGCGATATTTGCGTTGAGTTACCGTCGCTTCGCTGCGGTGGGTGTCTGGTTGCTGGCCTGAGCGCTGGAGCTATCGCTTACGAGAGGAGGTGGCTATCGCTTGCGAGCGGTGGAAGCTATCGCTTGCTTCTCTTGCCTTAGCTTTTATGGACGATGGAGTCATCGCTTGTGGGCAGAAATGACTACCGCTTGTCTCCTTAGCTTTTCCGGAACCAAAACACCGCTTAAAAGCGCAAAAATTGTTAATAATCTCAACAAACCAACTCTGGATCATGCCAAACGAGATAGATCAATAAAGTATGTCATAACTCAGTTATAGTGATAGTTTTTATACATAAATTCAAGTAATACGTAGTTTTGTCAAGCGGTGAATATGCTCATATTTGGAGTCATCACTTGTGTTCCGACCTTATAGATGCCTCGTCGACAGGGTGTTGAGGGAGCAGTGTGTCAATCCCCAACTCACTAGGATTACGAATTAAAACAATACTTCGCTTACATATGTTGGTTGCATTGGTTAACTGAAGGGATGAATGAGAAAACTTTCCCTCTAGAAGTGTGAGCTCAAATCGTTGTTCAGTTCTTTGAGGAAACCGGTTGAGAGTATGATTATAAACAACTAAATGGAAAATTTAAGCGGACGAAAGTAATTATGGCCTACTACATGACCTTGTTGTACGTCATATAGGACTTGGCTGGGACCCCAAAATAGGCTTAGTTCTAGCTAGTGAGGCCTAGAAGCCTGCTTGGTTAGTGGTAGCACTCATAATCCCATAATGTAATTTAAGGGGAGGATTAACGCACCGTGTGAGTGATATCCACTATGAACACACGAGGCACCACATGGACTCTTAGTACTGGCGCAGTCATTTGCTCACTTTGACTACTGTCATTAGAGGTGGGCATGATTCAAATATTTGCAAATATATAGGCATTTGATATTCGAATCAAACCGAACAAATATTTGAAACTAAAACTATTTGAAAATATCTGAACCGAATTGAATACAAATAAATATTGATAAATAAATCTAATTTTGGAATTGAAATAAATGATCTTGAGACTTAAGGAGAACTCAAAATCAAATCAGAAATAATATCAAAATTATTGAAAGATACTAAACAGTTTATCTGGCACAACTGTATCAATTTTCACGCGGACGTTCAATCTCCAACAATTCAATTGCCCGTGGGATCTATCACTCGAAATCGAGCTGGTTAGTTTCAAGATCCCATCAATATATAGACCCGATGATTTTGTTTGGAAAATCAATTTAAAGATGCTGGTTGAAGACCACTTAGTTCTCACCTAACACTATTCTAATAGGACTTGCAAGAATTGGAATTGAAACAAGACGGGACTAAAAAATCTCTATGTAAGGTTATTGTCTATCACTCTAATGTATGGAGACAATTTTACATCTTGAATTAAATTTTACTTTAAATTTGAAACTGGCCCTTGATTCATTCCATCTATACAATTCAGTTCAAATTTTTTTGTCCGATATTATAATGGAAATAATCTATTGCAACACGTGATTTGTTGTTGTGTTGATTAAAAAAGCAAGGGACATTTTTTTAGGCGGAGCGGCGAAGCAAACACCTTCTGTACCGTTGGATCTCAAACCTGTCAACTCATCTAAGCCGTTGATCTACTCTTATCCTCACCTCTACCTACTACGCTCAAACTCAAGTCTTCTTTGCCTATATATTCAACAACTCACTGGCATAGTTTTTCTCTTCTTTCTTCCGCAAATAAAGGGGGTCAATCTCTCTCGATACTTATTCTCAGTGCAAGTCGTTTCACACGGTGAGTTTTTACTTTGATTTTGAGTTTGTGTTTATATTTTTTATTTTTTGGGTGGGGAGGGGGGGCTGGTGATGTTTGCAGTTGATGATTAGGTTAAGCCCTAATTATGAGAAACTAATGTTTTAAAAAGCTATCTTTTGTGATTGTGGTGGAGTTTGAGTGATCGGTGGCTTTGCTAAAGTTAGATACTCCGGGGAAGGGATGCGCAGTTCTGTAATGTTTGTTAATCTTATTTTAGTCGAATGAATCCCACCCTAATTTAGGTGAATTTTTAACAGAATATTGTGTAGCTAATCTTTTTCATATGAGTTCATTCAGTGATCATGATTTTTGTTCATGGCATTTTGTTCTTCTGCTTGAACCCAGGGTGTTGCGGTTGGCTTCTGTGATGGGAAATGACATTGTCGTTGCTGAGAAGTTAGGGGCGAGGCCTGCTGCACAAAAAGTTGATTTGAGCTTAGTGGGTGAATCAGAGCAGTCTAATGAGGATGAAATATTTGAAGAGGCCATTGGTATAGAGTCCCCTACTATTGTTTCGAAGAATACAACTACATCTGAAGGTGCAGGTATCACATTAGTTAGCCCTATGAATACTATTGAGGGTTATTCAGATGAATCTAAAGATGTTTCGAAGTTGGGAGGAGTTTCTGGTGCTCCTGGTGCAGGTTTGAATGCAAACGCTGATGTGGTGAATACTGAACTTCTGATAGGTGGGGAAAATCTTGATGAGAAGCAAAATTTTCGAGTGGAATTGACAAAAAATGAAATCAATAGAGTGGTGGATGATGGTTCTGATGAGAACAGTATAGGTGATCTCCGAGAGCTTGTTGATTTGGATGCCAACAATAGAGAAATCGATAACTTAGGTGGTGGTCAAAAGATTTTGGATAACTCTGATAAAAATGATGATGGCATATTTAACAACTCAGGTGATCTTGAAGTTTTAAATTCTGAAGATACAAGAATTGTTGCAGCAGGTGGAGCTAAGATAAACCCCTATAACCTTGAAACTCAAAGACATGAGTTGATGGCAATTCAAGATGTCAATACTGTAAACGGAGCTTATACCCTTTCTAGCAACCATGACACTTCTGAGCACAATATAAATTTAGTTGGTTCTTTGAATAATGGTGATGGGAAGGGTGCAGAGAAAGATAGACTAAATGAACATGCCCATGAGGTACCTTTGGAAGTAGAAGGTGCAGATGCTGGCAGAGGAACTAGAGCTAAGTCTCGGCCAGAGTCCAATGGGGATCCGGGGCACAAGAATGAGCTAGAACACCAACTGGACAAGCCTGAAAACATTTCAATTAACATTTTGCTTTCTGAACTCAAAGAAGATCAAATTGGAGAACAGGTGGAATTGCCATGTATTTCTGATGATATTCTAAAAGATGATGACGATGAGTTGAAAAAACTGGATTCAGAACGTGTGAGAATCAGCAAGGTTGATAGTAAGGATGCTGACCAGGAAGCATCTGGAGATTTGTCCCATCCAGATAATCTGTTGCATTCTGAAATGAAAGAAATTCAAATTGGAGAGCTGGTGGAGAAGCCATGTATTTCTGGTGATACACTCAAAGGTGATATGAATATAGACCTGAAGAAACTGGATTCAAAATGTGGGGAAGTTGAAAGTGTTAAGGATGCTGACAAGGATGACTGTATTGTTGTGCCCTCTGCAGATGCTTATTTTGCTATTGATCATGCTAAGGAAAGTTCTGAATTTACTGCCAATTCACATGATGGCCGGACACTGGACCAGGAAACAGAGGTCGACCCTTGCTCCAGCTCGTCTGAAATCTTAGTGGAGAGTTCTAGGTCATCAGAGATACAGCTAGGAAATTCTAATGATGAACTCTCCGCGACTGTAGTTAAGAGGCGAGAGCAGGAAGGAGTGAGAATTGATCTTAAGGAAATACATTTGCCTGAGACTAGGGAACAGGAAGTTAAACCTGTTTCTGGTATCTCTTCATCTTTGGACAAGTATCCTGAACCCACTCCTGCTCATCCTTTCAGCCTTGATAATGCTTCTGAGACGTTTGGATCTATTTCTCAGGATGAAGCAAATAGTAGAGAGCAGGAAATTACTCCTACGGCTAGTATCTCCTCCGCTACCACATCTAGTCCCCACCGTGATGGTATAAATCATATTGTGCCATTACCAGAGCCTGTTTTGATAAATAAAGAAGAGGGGCCCAAGTCTCCAGCTTCTGTTACATCGAATAATGTGCCCACTGCTTCAGCTGCTACTCACCCAGCTGGCCTTGGGCGCGCTCCCCTATTGGAATCAGCCTCTCGTGTTGTTCAGGTTCCTCGAGTAAATGGAGCTGTACCTGCATCACAAAATCAAATTGTTGAAGATCCCACAAATGGAGACGCTGAGGAGTATGATGAGACCCGTGAAAAGCTTCAGATGATTCGTGTGAAATTTCTTCGTCTTGCTCATAGGCTTGGCCAAACTCCTCATAATGTTGTTGTAGCTCAGGTTTTGTATAGATTAGGGTTGGCTGAACAACTCCATGGGAGAAGTGGTGGACGTGTTGCTGCCTTTAGTTTTGATCGGGCTAGTGCATTGGCTGAGCAGCTTGAGGCAGCAGGACAAGAACCCTTGGATTTCACTTGTACAATCATGGTACTTGGGAAATCTGGTGTTGGTAAAAGTGCAACTATAAATTCCATATTTGATGAAGTTATGTTTGGTACTGATGCTTTTCAGTCAGGCACCAAGAGGGTTCAGGATATTGTTGGTACGGTGCACGGAATCAGAGTCCGCGTGATTGATACACCTGGACTTTTACCCTCTTGGTCAGACCAGCGCCAAAATGAAAAGATTCTTCATTCTGTTAAAAAGTTTATTAAGAAAACACCTCCTGACATTATCCTGTATCTTGATAGATTGGACATGCAGAGTAGAAATTTTGGTGATATGCCGTTGTTGCAGACCATCACAGGAATTTTTGGACCATCTGTTTGGTTTAATGCCATAGTTGTTCTGACTCATGCTGCATCTGCACCACCTGAAGGTCCCAATGGGACAACAACAAGTTATGATATGTTTGTGAGTCAGAGGTTGCAAGCTGTGCAGCAGGCAATACGTCAGGCTGCTGGAGATATGCGGCTTATGAATCCTGTTTCTTTGGTAGAGAATCACTCAGCTTGCAGGACAAACAGAGCTGGACAGAGGGTGTTGCCAAATGGTCAGGTTTGGAAGCCTCACCTGTTGCTGTTGTCTTTTGCTTCAAAAATTTTGGCTGAAGCAAACACTCTACTGAAGTTGCAAGATACTCCTTCTGGGAGACCATCAGCCCCTCGAACAAGATCACTCCCTTTACCTTTCCTTCTTTCATCTCTTCTCCAGCCCAGACCTGAAGTTAAACTTCCATCAGAGCAATTTGGTAGTGATGAAGATGCTTATGATGATGATCTGGAAGAATGCTCAGACTCAGAAGAAGAATCTGATTATGATGAACTACCTCCATTTAAATCACTGACTAAAGCACAGCTTGAAAAGCTTACCAAGGAACAAAGGAAGGCATACTATAATGAACTTGAATACAGGGAAAAACTTTTCATGAAAAAGCAGCTGAAAGAAGAGAGAAAACGACGGAAGATGATGAAGAAACTACAGGAGGAAACTAAGGCCTCAACTGCTGACTTTGGAAGCAATGATGAAGAAGAGACAAGTGCTGCTGCATCTGTACCAGTTGCTATGCCGGACTTGGTCCTGCCTGCTTCTTTCGATTCAGATAATCCTGCACATCGATATCGGTCTCTTGATTCCTCCAACCCTTGGCTTGTTAGGGCTGTCCTAGAAACCAATGGCTGGGACCATGATATTGGATATGATGGCATAAATGTTGAGAGATTATTTGTGGTGAAAGACAAGGTGCCAATATCATTCTCTGGTCACCTTTCGAAGGACAAAAAGGATACCAACCTTCAAATGGAAGTTGCAAGTTCCGTGAAGCATGGGAATGGGAAAGAAACTTATTTTGGCTTTGACATGCAATCAGTTGGAAAGGACTATGCTTATACACTACGAAGTGAGACTCGATTTAGCAAAAGGAAAATAAACAAGGCTTCTGCTGGTCTCTCAGCTACTGTATTGGGTGATGTTTTAACTGGTGGAATAAAAGTAGAGGACAAATTGACTGTTGGTAAACAGGGACAGTTAGTTATTTCGGGAGGCGCCATTTGTAGCCGTGGCGAGGTTGCTTATGGTGGTAGTTTAGAAGCAACAGTAAGGGACAAAGATCATCCTTTTGGACGTTTTTTATCAACATTGGGGCTCTCTGTCATGGATTGGCATGGAGATCTTGCTCTTGGGTGCAATGCTCAGACCCAGATACCCATTGGAAGGCATTCAAATTTGATTGGTCGATTAAATATTAATAACAGGGGTTCTGGGCAACTTAGCCTTCGGATCAACAGTTCAGAGCAACTTCAGATAGTTTTGGTTGGCTTAATTCCACTGGTGAAAAAAGTACTTAGCTGTTCTGAACAGGTGCAACAATGGTGACAAAGGAGGGTTGTGTAATATCACAACTCTTGGATATACAGATTATTCCGCGATGGACATCCCGTGCTTGGTCAAGAAGCAAATTTAGGTATAACTCATGAGTGATTTGTAGTTCCTATATGAAGAATGCCGGGCAAAATTTCTGGCAGCATGCTATTTGTTTTTTTTTTCACTTTCTTATGTTTTGGGGAATAAGTTGGGGTAGGGGAATTAGAATTCATTTTAACCACATCAGAGTTGCAATGCTAAGCATAATAATTTACAAGGATACAATTTCTTATATTTTGTAGAACTTCCTTGTATGGTATATGTTGGCTATATAATATTGCTTAAATTGTTTTATAATACCTTTCATAAACATTCTCTGTGTCAGACATCATGATGCTGATTTAACCAACTTATTCAAGAGTTCTCAACTTCGAATTTCCTCCTTTGTTTTGCTTGTGTTTTTGTTTTTGTGCCCCTTTTTTACTGTCCATTGTTGTTTCGGATTTATATAATGTTGTTTATTGTATTGAGGCTGATGCCCAGTCTCCCTTCCAGTTCGTATCGTAAGCACTAAACAACACAGATTATGACCTTGATTGCTTTTTGGGGAGTTCTGTTGATTAGTGTCTTTGCTTTGGACATTCTCTGCTGAAAGATTTGAAACTCGTGGGTACAAATAGATTTTTCATTCTCGTTTCTTTATGCTGTTTTAGCGACAAGTGGTAGTTAGACATATGCCTGTACTCTATTTTCGAAAGTTTAATTTGCAAACTGGATGCATGATGGAGTAGTTCAATTCAACACACACAATGTCAGCATATTTATAGTTATTCATACACCTGCTAGTTAAATTTCTGATATGGACCTTTTGGCAATCCTTCTTGTCCAACAGGTGGTTGCGAAGAAGATTGAAGGTTTGTTATTTTGAGCGGGCATGCATCTTCTGTTGGATTCAAAGTCTGATGTAAAAAGTGGTGGGATGAGATGAGACGACAGGTTGTTTTCCTTTGAGGAAAGTCTACTCTGTAGTAGTTGTTATCTTGAGATTTCTTCATATCCAGAATTTTGTAAAATGTTTATTGCATGCATGGCTGCTATCATATTTCTATCTCCGTGGATAGGAATGTAGTCATTTACTTTTTTGCACGAAATTGAAGGGATGATAATATATTATGTGTGAGAATAGTTGTGTTGAGTGGAAAGACAAATGCTCTTGTGACTTATGCTTCGTTTTGTAAAATTTTATCGAGGAGTATTATTATAAATAAGTTGAATTGTAAGGGTATTACTCTATAAGAGAAAGAAAAATAGATATATTTGTGGTGAAGTACAAAGATAGGCAGATACTGTAAGAGGTTTGGACAGAAACAGGTGATTCTCGAGTAAAAGTTGCATAGTTGCAGTGTGTTTTTGGTGTCATATAGTATTTAGTTTAGTCAGCTGTATGTCAGATTAGGCAATTGACCACTGAGGAGGACACAATCATTGGTCCATTATCATTAAAAGAAGAAATATAGTGGTGTGTTCTTTTTGTGTTTTATTTTGATTTTGATTAATTTGATGTCGTGCTGTATGAGGAAAAAAAATATACATATGTGCTAATTTGATCGGACGCCAGTTTTAACAAAAATAAGTAATAATTATTATTTTCTTTTATATAAAGGTGTAATGATTTTTTACTTAAAAAAAAAAACAAATATTTTTTTAATGACAATCTATGACAATCCAAAAATTAAAATAAACATATATTTAAATGACGGAGTTAAGTATATATTACTCTTTTCATACTAAAAAATGAGTAAAAATAAAAAAAAATAATTATAGTTAAAAAAAAGTAGAAAAATTATTATTTTTTTACTTAAAAAAAGGAAATAAACCTTCTTTTTAACAATTAGAAAAAGGAAAATTGAACATAATATAATTTTATAGAAAACTGTAAACATATCTTTTATTGTGTTGTTATGTTCGTTTGTATTATAAATGGATTTATACTCTCGAAAACTGTAAACATATGTTTCATTGTGTTGTTATGTTCTTTTGTATTATAAATTGATTTATACTCTTTTCACACAAAAAAATGTGTTTATTTTTCTTTTTGATCGATCATCTAAAAGTATTTTTTTTGCTCTTTCGTCTCATTTTTTGTGTTTGGGTTATATGAAATACACAATACAAATAATTATAAATTAATAGTAAGAAATTCTTTATATAACAATTTTCAATTTTCGTATCCAGTCTTACATATTATGTCAAGGTTACTAATTTTTAATTTTAATTAAACTAATTAATTATTTTATTCTTAATGTATATTTATTTGTATTATATTATAATCAATTTTACTAATATATTATTAATTATTTTTTAATTATCTCTTAAATTATCGTGTCTATAATGTGACATTATATCTATGACTGAGGAATTATTTATTTTTAAAAAATATCACATCACATATATATATTTTTTTTCATAAAACATCACATCAATTACTAATTTTTTATTATTCCAAAACTTCAAAACCCTCCAAATTTTTTTGTCTAAACAAAGTTTAACATAATTAATTAGTTTAATTAAAATTAAAAAATTATAAACTAGAAAATTTAAAATATAATTAAAATATACATATATATATATATTTTTTTTAAAAAAAATCACATAAGATGTAAAACGTAGATAAAATGGCAACGTGGATACGAAATGTGACATGAATGAAGTAATAAAAAGTGATAATATCTCCGTCCTATAAAACCGGTAACATTTACTTTTTTACGCATAGATTTTTAAATATTAGTATTATATTAGTTTATAGTAAAAATGACAAAATCTCTATTTGTATGCAAAGTATCAAATAAAGTTTGATCTTTACATATATGGACATCGGTAGCAGAATCCATCACCCAATTAGAATTCTCAACAGGATTTGTATTTAAAAGAAGTAAATCACCTTCATAACTGACCATGTTCGCGGAGTTCTCGACTTTCGACTTACCCTTCAAATTTCTCAGACTTCTCAAGTCTTCTTTAAAAAGTCGACAGTGATTTCGAATGTGACCAAGCTCTCCACAATAATGACACTCAACAGAGTTGTAATCTCTTGGCTGAGATTTTGATCTTCCGCCACGCTCACTCTTCATTTTCCTCTCTTTCAGAACTCCCCACAACTAGTAGTTGACTCTCCTTTGAAGCGCATTCCTTTCTCATTATCTTGTCATTCTCATTTAAAATTGTTATCGTCTCATTCACTTTCAATTTAGTTTTTCCAACTAACATTGATTGCACCAATGACTTGTAGGATTTGGGCGATAAAGCTAACAAGAGCAACACTTACTCTTTGTCTTTAATTTTCTCTCCTGCATTCAACAATCGACATACTAGCTCATTAAATTTGTTAGTATGGTCAATTATATTACCTCATTCCTCTATCTTAAAAAAGTATAGATCCATTTTCATAATCAAGCAGTTAGTCAACGTCTTCGTGACAAATTTACTCTCCAAAGTATGCCACAACCTCTTCGGTGATGTTTTCGTCAACACGGTAACCTTTATATGCAGGGTGAGTGCCAATCGAATCATGACAGGTTTTTTTCGGATCATACTTCAATCACCTTCTTTCATACGTTCTGGCTTTACATCTTCCAAGGCAACATCAAGGCCTTGCTGCACCAAATAGTCTTGAATTGTGTTTTGCCACATAGTAAAATCACTCTTTCCATCAAAGAGCGGAACCTCATATTTCAAAGTAGTGGACATAGTGCTTAATAATCCTCCAATAAACAAGCACTTCCAACAACCAAATAAACTGAGGCTAAAAAAATAAAGCCAAGAACTCAAATCAAGCAGAACCGACCTTTCTGGCAAAAATCTGGTGTGTTGCCGGAACCTGCTGCGGAACTGCAACTTGACTGCTGGCGCGCCGTCAACTTCTCTCGAAACACCTCTTCCTCCTTCTCTCCTCCCTTTGCCAAGACCTCGCTTTAATACCACCACTTGCTGGGAACACACAAGGGAAGAAAGATAAAGCTAAATAACAAGACACGAGAATTTAACGTGGTTTGGTCTCACAACAGACTTACATCCACGATCCCAAAATGGGATAATCCACTAAAATATTTATTACAATTGTTGCACGGAAAAAAATTGTAAAACCTTCATCACAAAAACTCACCAAATCTCAATTTCACTCTCTCTAGTTACTAAAAAAAAAAAAGCTTGTTGTCCTGCTTTAAAATAGACCCAAAAGAGTCAATTTATAGGAGCTAATGCCCTTACCTTTTTATCATACTTCTGATGTGGGACATGGGAAGTTACAAAACACTTTTCAGGGAATTGTAATTGAGTGTTCGTGCCGAACTCTCACAACTTAATTTTTCCATTGAACTAAGGTTTGAGATTTTCAAGTGATTTGGTTGGGTTACCACTGTAATTGTCTTGTGAATTTCAAACTCATTCCCTTTAGCATTTGTACATTTGATCTCTCTGCAACCCTATGGTTAGCGGATCTACTAGATTTTCTATTGATTTTACATATTCAATAGTCAAAACCCCACTGGTGATCAAATGTCATACAATGTTATGTCTATATCGGATATGTCGAGATTTACCGTTGTAAATTTCATTCTTAGCCCTTGCTATTGCAGCTTGGCTATCACAATGAATCATTACAAGAGGTACTAGTTTATTCCAGTATGGAATATCATCCATGAAGTTCCTGAGCCATTCGGCTTCTTCGCCAGCTTTATCCACGGCGATAAACTCCAATTCCATTGTGGTGGACCGTGCAATGCACGTCTGTTTTGTGGATTTTCACGAAACAACTCATTCTCCAATCTTAAATATATATCCACTTGTAAACAGTGAGTCTTTTGCATCGAATATCCAATTGGCATCGCAGTACCTTCGAGTACCAGTGGATATTTCGCGTAGTGTGATGACCCCAAATATGAGCATATTTTTAGCTTGACAGTATTGTGTATTATTTGAATTTTTCTATAAAAACCATCACAATAACTGGTTGATGGCATACTTTATTGATCTATATCGCTTGGCATGATCCAGAGTTTATTTGTTGAGATTATTAACGATTTTTGCCCTTTTAAGCGGTGTTTTGGTGCCAGAAAAGCTAAGGTAGACGCCACAAGCGAAAACCACCTCCGCTCGCAAGCGGCAATTACATCACCCAAAAAAACTAAGGCAAGAGAGGCAAGCGGTAACTTCCACTGCTCACAAGCGACAGTCTCTCCCGCTCGCAAGCGATGGCCCAGACTCTCACCGTTGCAGAGTGACCGCAACCCAACTCAAATATTGACTAAGTGTCCCAACTGCAGCGGTACAGCCATTCCATTACCAGCCAGCATAAGCAAGCCCGCATAGCTGCACTGATGCCCTCCAGCCCTCCGGCAAGCGAGGAAGATCTGAGCCCTTACAATCCTATGCAAGCGAAGCGAGCACCCTAGGAGTTATGGCCAGCAATTGCTTCAACAGAATAACTGCCATCAATAGCCTAACTGCCTAGCGGTTGAAACTGACTTGTAACTGCTTGCAACCGTTTCCTTTCACCTATTATAAATAGGGCCAGATATCTGTATGTAAATATACTTCGATTGGAGTATTCTAGCGATTAAAAATTCTGTGCATTCTAGTTGTCTTCATGTTCTTCGAAAGCTTCAACCCTGTAAGGGAGTTTTCCACAGGAATGGCCAAGGGAGTGGGGACTTTCCTTCTCCCTTGGCCAAGACTTTACTGCTTACTAAGTGTAGTTTTACTGCTTTCTTTAACAGCTTTGTAGAATTAGCAATCCCAACTTTATTAGTAAGTAATGAAATCTCATTTAATTCTTCATCTCTACTTCTTTCACATCTTTTTCACACTTATATAAACCCTGATCGTAAAGAATTTCATTTCACTGGTTTAGAGCATAAGAAAAATTGATTATCCAAGCCTTGTCTTTTGTCAAAAACGTTTTCAAGGTAGTTCAATGTAGTTAAGTAAGTGGGAGCCTTGTCGACCTGCTTAACTACTGTTTTGAATTTAATTTTGATTAAAAAGAGGTAACAGGAAGGTAAAACCACTAATGAGGCAGAAATTGAGATAATTAATGGGGCATAGGCGGTGGTCTATTAGGTCACAGAAATTCCTAATGACAGTAGGATTTCTTTCTTATAATATTCCGACTTTGGGTGTCATTGAAGTCTTATTGTAAATCCCTTATGGTTAGATTCCAGTGATAAGAATTCTTTATAATTCGGTTTATATATTTACATTACCTCCTTCCCCGCTTTTATATTATACATATACCTCCGTTAACACACCAACATCGCCCGCTCACTTCATCCAAGAAAACCTAGCCATTAAGTAACGCACAGTTCAGACACAACACCTCTCCCTCACTCTCAATCGCTTTCATATATATATATGTATATTGTGTCATCTGCTCAAGTCCCGTTCACTCGACCATCACTGGCATTTCACCGCTCACCTCCGCTCCGCTCGCCTCCGCTCATTTTATCGCTTTTAGTTACCGTTTTCAGTAGAGTAAAAACTTGGATCCGCTACAAAGCGGGTCCCTATACTGCATTTTCTCGCCGCTTTTACAATATCTACACTTGATTTGAAATTCATGACTTACAATCCCTGTGTTCGACCTGGACACTCACTAGTAAAAGAGTATAAATAATTGTGATAACTACTCAGGGTCTACAACCGAAATATTTTACTATATCTAACCACTTTCTATAGTCATTCACATCTCGATTTTCGAATATAAAATTCCCTGCGAGTATATACAAATTACCCATTACAACCATTTTTTATCATAGTGTATGCCAAAATTCAGAGTAAATTGAAGATACCTTAATACTCTTACTAGCGCTTTCCAGTTTTCATGACTGGGGTTGCTAATATATCGACTCAACTTGTTTACAGGGCAAGCCAGGTCAGGCCTTGTACAATTTCTTAAGTACATTAGGCTTCCAATAATTGGCATAGTCTTTTTGAGCTACGGGGTCTCTCATATTCTTGCTCAAGTGTACGCTGAGGTCCATTGGAGTTTTCACTATAGTGTTGTCGTAGACATTGAATTTTCTCAGTATATTTTCCACATAGTGGGACTGAATCAGAACAATACTTCGTCTTGCCTTAGAATCTTCATTCCAAGGATGATGTCGGCTAGCCCCAAATCTTTCATGTCGAAGTTACGACTCAACATGCATTTGATCTCATTGATCAGACTGACCTCTTTAGCCATGATCAGTAGGTCGTCTACATATAGACATATTATGAAAAAACCGGAAGGTGTGTCTTTGATGTAGACACATTTGTCACACTCGTTTATTTTAAAACCATTTGATAACACAACATTATCAAATCTCAAGTGCCATTGTAAAGGTGCTTGTTTCAGCCCGTACAAAGACTTTATCAGTTTGTACATATTTCTCTCTTGGCTAGGAACGACATATCATTCCGGGTGTTCCATATATACCTCATCTTCTAATTCGCCATTTAGAAAAAGCAATCTTCACATCCATTTGGTGAATCTCAAGATTGTTCAAAGACGCAATCAAAATAAGCATTTGAATGGATGTTATCCTAGTTACTGGTGAATATATGTCGAAGAAGTCAAACCCTTCGATTTTTTTTCTGTAGCCTTTCACTACGAGACGGACTTTGTATTTGTCAATAGATCCATCAACCTTGAGTTTCATTTTCAAAACTCATTTACACCCTAGTGATTTGCAACTTTCGGTAAGTCAGATAACACCCAAGTGTTATTATGCATTATTGAGTCTATTTCCTTATCTATTAATAATTTGGGAAAACAATCTCGCAAATGTCATATTTCGAGTAGATAATAAACAAACATGTGACCATCCGGTAGATGTATCAACAAGCACCATAAAATATTTAAATGGCCTATATGGTGAGTTTATTGGTCTACATATATCCCCATGTATTCTTTTAAAAAAATTTAGGTGATTCAATACCTATTTTAGTTGGTGATGGCCTGATTATCAATTTTCTCTAAGTGTAGGTAACACAAGTTAATTCATTTGAGTTTAATACTTTTTGACATTTTAATGAATGATCATGCGAATTCTCAATTATTCACATCATCATTATACGGCCAGGATGCCCAAGATGATCATACCATATTTGAAAATCAATAATCTTTTGATCTACCGTGAGCTGTGTTTCAACAAAGCCTAATATGACATAATATAAACCAATAGAGAGTGAGGGTAATCTCTCAATGATGCATTTCCTTTCATTAATTATATTGGTGATCAACAAAAACCCACCATCGCTATCACTCATAGTTTCAATGTAATAACCATTTTTTTGAATTTCATGAAAGCTCAGTAAGCTTCTTCGAGCTTTAGAGGCCAATAGTGCATACTATATCACAATTTTTGTCCCTGGGGGAAAAAATATAATGGCTTCTCTAGAGCCTTCAATTAATTTCGCTCTACCACTTATTGTATTAACATTCATCTTTTCTCTTTTCAAATGGAAGAAATATTTTTCGTGTTTCAATATAGTATGTATCGTTGCACTGCTAATGAAATACATATTTGCATCATTTTGATTGACATCCATTTAATCTTTAAATATAAATAAACGTAGTATTAATAAAAGTAAATATAAATATTACATAATGCATTACAAAAAGGGTAATATGCGATAATTTAAATATTACAAAATATAAAATAACATAATGTATAATGACATAGTATGTCTGTCACTGAGGGTTTGCTGGATCTACGCAAAAATCCATTATATCAAGATGTGTTGTGTCATAATCCAGAAAAATCATCATCGGGGTCGTCATCATTATCAACGTGATTCATCTCGACCCCCTTCCCATTTTTCTGCAGTGAGTCTTGGTAAAGATCAACTAGGTGTTTGGATGTCCTGCAGGTATTGACTCAATGGCCTTCAATGTCACACTAATTACAAATGTCGATTTGCCTCTTTCCCTATTTAGCCTTTTCGGTTATATCCCCATATTAGGGTTTACTCTGCTTCTTGTTAATGTCAAAATTGCGGTGATTGTAAGGGGTGTATCGACCACGTTGATTCTCGCGACCGCGACCACATCCACGACGTCGTTCAAAAAATGTCATATTCGTTTCAGAGAACGGACTAGAACCAGTGAACCGAGACTAATGATTTTTCATCATTAACTCATTACTTTGCTTAGCTAATAAAAAACATGCAATGAGCTGTGAGTACTTTTGAAATTTTTTCTAACGATACTGTTGTTGCAGCACAACATTAAAAACATTAAAGGTAGAGAAAGTCTTTTCCAATTTATCATTCTCAGTAACATTGTCTTCGCAGAGTTTCAACTGAGATGTAATCTGATGGATAGTAGAGTTGTACTATGTAGTAGATTTAAAATCCTGCAATTGCATGTTAAGACAATCATGTCGGACTTTAAGGAGAATAATGTATTATAAGTGCTCAAATATCTCTCTCAATTCATTCTACAAATCAAATAGATTTTTCACCGTCAAATATTTGGACTATAAAAGAATGTCGAAATGATGATGAATGAAAAAAATAACCGTGGCCCGATCTTGGCTTGTAGTCGTATTTTTACTGAAAATTGTATGAACAAGACCCATGTAAATCAGATGCATTTCTACATTTAGGGACCAAGTCAGAAAATTATTGCCAATAAAAGACAAAAATTTAAAAGAAAATTTTGCAAGATTTTTCATAGTGTAGAAAATAGATATAGATAGTATAAAAATAAAATTTACCAAAAATAAAATAAGCAAGAACCTTTGTGCTGATAACGTGTTATATAAATAATAATACTCCCCCCGTCCCTTAACAATCTATCTATTTTTTCATTTTGGTTAGTCTCGTAACAAAGTATCTATTTTTTTTTAAAATAATTGTACTAACTACCTAACATTATAAATACTATTTTAATTTACAACATATTAGACAAATGCCATTACATTTATATCATATAATACTAATAAGGTTAGTTTATTCTTTTTACTTTTATTTCTACTATATCTTAATATAATACTAATATTTTTAAAACTCCCTAAAAAACAAATAATCAAATGTAAGAAAGATAGAGTATAATATATTGATTTATCTATATATATAAACTATCCATGTGCAAAATATAATAATATGTGTGTATGAATTGTATATATATATTTATGTATGTATATTAATTAGTACGGTAATTATAGAGCCTAGAAAACAGACAAAGAGAGGAATATGATGTGTGATGGAAAATAAATTGTAAATGTATTTATTCATAATCATAGATGCACATATATAAGGATACATGACGACTTTTCAATTAGTATAAATGCATCCGTATATCCTTACGTATGCACGCGGTGTAGTGTTTACATAATTGTTGTCATGGTAAACACTACGTCGTAATACATTTTAAATAAAAAACAATAAAAAACTCCAAGTATTATTGATGCGGCCTCAATGTGGCGCTGCCATTTTGACAATTCCGGCACGGTTGCAATGATATAAAAGTCAGATGTAATACTTAGAAAAATGGTAATTTACTCTGTATAAAATAAGTTATTTATTTATTATTTATTTTTTATTTATATTTTTTTAAGTCACGTTGGGCCCTTTAGCAAAATTGGGCTGGAAGCCGGGAGAAGAGGCCAACATGTACCGAATAGCCAATAGATAAATGAGCTTTCAATTAATAACAACCCTTTTCCTTCGTTCACGTTTCACAGGAAGAAGGACGACTACACTACTGCCACAAGAGTAGAGTAGAGAAGAGAAGAGACAGATACCCAAACTGCTGCCGCTGCCATGGACGACGGAAGGAGAGAGGAAGAGACGACGAGAGAAGAGCCGTGGCTGGAAGAGGCTTTCCTCTGTTGACGACCGATGCTTTTCCATTCTAATTTCCATTCTTTTCACTTCTCCGGTGAGTCTGTCTTCCCTACCCTCGCATCATTAATTGCTTCTACTTGTTCCTCCAAATCAACTGCCGTCCAACTTCTAATCTATTGATTGTCATTCTGGAGAGTGATTTATCGAAGTAACTGTTTCTAGTGAAGTTTTGTTCGGAACGAGTTTTGCGTGAATTTGCTGCCGGTTGGTTTTCGTTTGTGAGTGTGTTCTCACTCCGGTAAAATTTGCTACCAATTTAGAATTTAGTTACGGAAATGATGCGAAATCTGTTTTGAGTGTAGTTTTGCCATGGAAAAACTAATAAAAATGTAGATCTCTAATGCTGCTTCATATAATTTTACTTTCGCTTAAGTGCATCTGCATTTCAGTTCATGTTTCTTCTATGACATTCAATCTCAATGGCGGAATAAGCAGTGTTAGACACTGATTCCATTTATCTCACATTTCCCCCTTGAGTGCTTGAAATCACAATGATTGATGTGCCTTGTAACCTTCATTTCTTTCTACATACTGCAGGAAAAAAACTTGAGTTCAACACTGGGTAGGCATAATCATACCCCCAACCAACTGAACAAGACTTACTAGATCATTCTAGAAAATTCAGTTGAAATGGACGAAGGAGGACGCGAAAGCCGGAGACATAGGTTGGACTACTACAAAGTACACCAGGTAATGATCCCATGAGAGCATCTCATCCGTAGTTGATAAATAGAATTTATCAAGATCAAAGTCAGTGTATGAATATAGATCCTAGTGTAACCCAGATGAACAATTTCAACTTCTGATCAGCTCTCTGTACGTTCCCTTAACTAATATTGTGGTGAGATGTAATTTGTCCTAATGTACTAGGTTAAAGAGCAGAATGCTTTCCATATGAATGTAAGAATCGGCATGCTCTGCGACGAAAAGGATGCTGCTATAAAGGAGCGGGACAGAGCCCTGGCCGAAAAAAGAGCAGCACTGGAAGAACGAGACATCGCCACTAAGCAGAGAGATGCAGCGATTGTGGAGCGCGACAATGCCCTAAGGGAGCGCGATAACGCCATTGCTGCGCTCCAGTTTCAGGAGAGCACAATGAATGCTCTGTTGGGTGGTGGCGGCGGCGCACGTGGGTTGAAGCGAATGAGCTTGCAGTCGACCCATATGCTGATGGAACAGTGCATAACTGATGCACTCCCAGTGTCCGCCGTTCCATGTGAAGCAGCAAAATCACTCAAGGCAGCAGCAAGGATTGCTACAAACAAGGATCTCAAATCGAAGAGAGCTAAGCCACCTAGGAAAGGGAAGAAAATAAACGAGGATTTGAACACAACCGACGGGTCTAAGGCTAAATGGGATGCTCAGGATTTTGATTCCCTGAACCATATATCTTTCGACGAGTCTACCATCCCAGCACCCATGTGTTCATGCACAGGAGTGCCCCGCCAGTGTTACAAGTGGAGCAATGGAGGGTGGCAATCGTCTTGTTGCACGACTTCCCTATCGATGTACCCTCTCCCTCATGTGCCAAACAAGAGGCACGCCCGAATGGGTGGCCGGAAGATGAGTGGGAGTGTATTTCGAAGGCTGCTCACAAGACTGGCGGCAGGCAGACACGACTTGTCTATCCCTCTCGATCTCAAGAACTATTGGGCTAAACACGGTACGAATCGCTACATAACTATCAAATAATTCATTGCATCATGGTTTTTTTGCTCATAATTCTGTGTCTGCCTGCTTCTGTCAAGAATCTACTGGGGGCCTTGGTAAATATAGCATTTAGTTGGCTGGTGGTGGATTCACTGTTGCTTTTTCAGCTTTGGGTTCTTTTTCGTTTTCCAAGTGTATGTGTTCTGTGCATTTAAATAACCTGTGGGAAGCCTAAATCTGGCCCTTAATGTTAGAATAGTTATTTTATTTGTTTTTATGTATATATCTACTACTTACATAAGTGTTTGGTTGTTGCATTGACATAAGAAAAGCAGCTCTAAGCAGCTCAAACTTATTCAGTCAAAATAGTTTCAAAGAATGGGAATGATCCCAACATTTAAAACCGGCTTTTCTTGGTGGTATTTTCAGAAGTTTTCTCATTCCTAATTTCCATTCTTTTGATACCAAATGAATGTTCAATAATCATTCCAAACCCAGAGCTTGCATATTGCAATGTAACAAGAAGATTAAGAGTTCTTTTAACAAAAACAGGAAAGTGAACTCCCCAGCAAATGGCAATGTACAACAAGGGTTATATTTAGCTACCTGAGAACAACTGCAGCATTTCTAAGAGCCAAGTACCGTTGGACGTAATCATTTGGGAGGGTTCGTATGACCTTGAACACTTCTGCATTCGCATAACGGAGCTTGGTTCTCGGATCAGAGTACGGTGCCTACACATACAACAGTTGTGATTCCATATCATATCATAGAGAGACGACTGAAATTTGACATGAATTCTCTAACATATTAATAATCAAAGTAAAGGGTCGAAACACAATGAAATTCATAGTCGTCCTCTATAATCTCTAATTTAATACTCTGTATTAATCAGCTCATTATAATGAGGCAAGTATGGAAAAACAAAAATCAAATGACAAATAAGTCATCTTGAGAGTAATTTTGTGCTATTCGATCATAACATTTTGTCACTTGGGGCAACTGATTTTTCAACAAGAAAACTCTGCAGGCTTAAAGCATGTAGAACAAAGCATGGAAGATCACGATACCTCAAATCCGGTTATGTCACATATTCGTTTGCGTGGATGCATTGATGGTGGAGTTTCAATGTTAACATCTGCACAGAAAGTACATCAGTTGTCACTAATGAAGATTACATCATGATATTGGAACACCCTGAATACATTAAATAGTAATACCACAAATAAAACTCTGATTAATGGATGAAATGTGGTAAAAATTGCAAGGGCAATACAAGGAACTGGAGAACAGTTGATGAAGAAAAGGAAGAATTATATAGGATCATACGTGCAACATGTTGCATTGATCTTATGTTCGATGATGTTGAAAAGAAAGACCGTTGCACATGGTAAAAGGATCACAGATTATATTTACTCAAGTACTGCTAATTTCTTTATTGCATCATATTCCCGAGGTCAAAATGATTTGGTCAGGCCTGCATAGTGTGTTTTGCGACATCTTGATGTTAAGTAGTATGAACAACAAGGAAGCACTAACAAGGATTCTCACATCAATTGACTAGACTAGTTTTCAACTTGAAAGAGATGAGAATCTTGTTAAATTAGATCACAAATAAAAATGTTGTGGAAAAATAAACTGTGATCTTGTTGAAGGGGGCTTCTAATGAAAGTACTCCAATTCATACAACAAAATAAAAAATGGTTGTGAGGTTCATTTATGAAACAATCAACCAAGCTACAAAAAATGCAAACTTGTTTTAACAATATTGGAGAATCTAAGGGGTTTGCATGTTGTGTTCTCAATCACATTTTGTACTATGTAAACTACAATCACCTATTTATTTTCCCGAAAAAAACTCATATCCAACATTTATATTTTTCTTCTAAAATTCATTATTCAACACATAACATCCACTACCATCTTCAATTAAGAAAGATCACATCGAAGACCTATTTTTCATTAAGATTTTACAATTCTCAAACCAACTTAGAACACAAACAAGCAAACCCTGAGTTATTAATACTAATTCTACTTAGTTCTCAATAATTAGATTTTAGTTTCATAAAGTAAATAAACATCTTAATTCTCTAGTTGTATGCTACTGTGCAAGGTTATTGATGAAAGATATGCCACTGTAAGCTTCTGCTTATTATCTTAACCTCCAATTGTATTATGGCACAGATTTACAAGTAGATTTTGAAGTAAAACATATTCTATATGATTGTCTTGAAAGTTTGGTTGTAGATGTGGAAGAAATGGATAAAATTTAAGCACAACTTGAGGACATTGAGTAGATCAAAATTTCTTGGTAAGCTACTAACCATGTTGACACTTAAACTCCAGCACAATGTTAGAAGTCTTATGGAAATGAGCATCCAGAGCTTCAGAAGTTTGCCATTCATGTATTTAGTTTGACATGCAGCTCATCTAGTTGTGAACATAACTGAAGCACCTTGGGATGATAATATTTTAATTATGTGATTCAAATCTATTATTTATTTATCACTTACTGTTTAAAAACAAAAAAAAAACAAAAAACCTATGAATAATGCAAGGTTAGCTAAAAAGAATAAAGTAACAAAAAAAATGAGCACAATACTGACTTACTTTCTTTGACGAGAATTTGAATGTGGATTAGACTGGTTTAGAAGAAGATCTGCTTTAAGTAGGAGGAGATGATAGTAGAGGTGAAGGCGATGCTATTGGTAGTGATGGCTTGGAGATCCCAAATACTGATAGTGCTGGGGATAAAGTCTTGTTTACGCCAATAGAGAATGCTGATCAAGACTATGATACGATAACATGGAGGATCATAAACTCAATGAGTTTCACTAAATTAGTATCCCCCCCGCCCCATGTTTTGTCTCCCATATCAGATTGCTAAGCCAAGTGTTTAGTGTTTACATAATATATTTTTTTGTTGACGCCTACAAGTTTATGATGTAACACCCTGGCCCCTCTATACCGAGCTAGGAGTGTTGTGTGTTATAAACTGCCACCACATATTAACCCTAAAGTCCTTCCTGGGAAACTTTTCAGGAGGTCATCATTCTAAAATTTACTTTAAAACAAACATCCTCGACTCTGGAGTTCTTGAATCCTCCAAAAAAGAAGATGCATATTGTTGATGCAAGTAGTATTATCCATCCTCTATGTTCCTTCCAAATTCGGGATATTACATAAGATTCCTACTTCCATGTTAACCTTAAAACTTGAGTCGACAACTATGTCTATGACAATAGTGCATCAAGCTATGATGGTTTGTGCAAACTATGTTAGACGCAGTATGAATGACAATGCTGGATGATGCACTAGTTTTTTTTCATTTAATGAGAGATTCCTATGAGCAAATTCCATATTGAAATATGAGGCAACCTTTTTTTCCTATGTAAGAACTATCTCCACTCTTATTCTTGAATCATAGTAGTCTACTAAAATTGATGATTGAGTCTGACATGGCAAGAATTGAAATATGAGGGTGGCCTTACAAATGTCAAAATGATACCAAAGCAACAACCAGCCATGGAATATGATGGTCAAGGCTTCTTTGTTCAACAATTGTTCGACGAGATCTCAAGATTATGCCTTAATCTAGGATAAATGTGCTATAGTATCCTGTAAAATATAAATCCCAAAAATTCCATTTCTCTCAGATCAATTTCAGCTTCGGGCAAGTGACTACTACTTATACCTTGGCCAGGTTGAGTCCAAGCAACACCATCTACTAACCCAAATATTCATTGAGCAACTAAAGAAGCATTTCTCTGGATTTGCCATGAAATTGTTATTCTGTGAAAGCACCGACAAGATATATGCACCATGCATTTATTTGTATTAGACATGGCTATAACAGAAAACTATTCCACAAAAATGCTGAAAAAGATCAGTAATTATTTGTAGTGCATGCTAGCAATACAAATTTTTGACATGCTCCATTGCGCCATTACAACTGTGGCCATATCTACAAGGTAGCCCCATATTCAATGATATCCAAATTGCAAGTTTACCTTCAAGAACACAATTTACTCAAGCAGCTAATTTATCAAAACCTCTTGGATCACTGTACAGAATGTTTGAAAATCATGACTTTTTGGAGTCCCTGATATTCCACATTGAATTGGCAACTATCATCACTTTTCACAAGAAGCACAATACTAGATTAGAGGTTGGAACTGAGGTAAACGCATCAGCCAATAGAATCAAGCTAACAAGCTTTTCAATCTCATTCTTTTGCATATGGCCATAAACATACAGCCTAATTGAAACTGGTCCTGCCCCTGAGTGAAGCACAACAAGATGATCAGTGAGTCAATCAGTGGAAGGCCTGGCCTGATGGCTTGCCAACCACTACATTGTACACCTCCAAACAACTTGTAGCCACAACAATAGCTCCTCAGTCCATGGTTAGCCCCTACTACCAGCAGGCTCCAAGTCTTCTCCATGAATATGAAAATACATTTGAAATAAGGAGTGTCATGTCACCAATAGGCAGGATAGCGCAGGGTCCCCTGGATATGTAATTTCCATCGCAGACTCAAAGGTGAGCATCATAGTCTACATATTCATCGTCACTTCCCCCAATAGTTTCAAGCCACAACCATCCCCCAATATCATAATAGACTGAAGGAAATAGATAGCAACCATCACTCACTTTAATATATAACCAACCGAGAAACAATGCACACCATAACTCCAGATTTCCACCTCTCTTCCATCATCCATATTCCTTCAAATGTACATATTTGCTTCATAGAGGGTCCGAGCTCTTTGAACACCATGGGCAATGAAGACATGAATTGCTCTACTATCAATTAGAAGTTAGAAATGTTAGCTCCTTACACTAAATTGAGCCTCATGCTCTCATAATTATGATTCCTACAAATGGCAATGGAAACCTATTGTTGAACTTGGTTAATCACCCCCTAAAGCGTATTACCTCATCACTAAAAATGAAGATGATGAGATTCATCATCCATAGGTCCATGACACTTTAATAAATTTGAAAGAGAAGAGCAGAATATACAGTTGCCTCTTTTATTGGAATGAGACAGCTTGGCCAAAAAATGCACATGGCTTGATGGTTGTAGAAGCACTCTTTTGTGCATGGCTGCAAGATTATCTGATTTAATTTGTCTTATTTTAATATAATATATATATCTCTCTAACAGAAGCTTCAATTGGGATGACATTGGTATTGTTGGAAAGCTTTTGATGTCTTCTTTCAATTGGGATGATTTCTAACTCAAAGTAGACATTGACTATAGAGATCATTTGTGCCATCGATAATGTCTCCTTACTATTTTGATCATGATCATCCAAACTGTGCTTATTCTCTTCCAGACCATTAGTTTACTTACTAGTTTTTTTGTAGTCCATGGGAATGGTAGCCTTGTTGAAACCTTCATTCATGGCAGGGATCGTCATGCAGAACTCTTTAATGGAAGGGAGGGCTCCTAAGGGTCTAGCTCACTGTTAAGAGCCAGTGAAATTGCAACCTCAAGGTCTGGGAGGATGTTCCCAAACATCCGTAGTTTGTTACCTAGGGGCCTTTGCAATAAACTCAATACCCAAGATAGTGATCCTTATATACACCCAAGACCTGGCTAGTGAATTGAAGGAACTCATTGACGAAGGTGCTTATTTGCCAAAACTTGTCTGTTGAAGCCAAACTTTAGATAGGACTCCCAATATGTCAATCATTAAAGCACATTACTAGGACATGATCAAATTCACGCAATATTTCCTGTCTATTTTCTTAGGTACCATCAAATTTAAGGCAAATCATCCTCCATTCAACTATTGTGTTTTGTACCTTAAGCCTTCTCACTAACCAGTGGATTAAATAATATTGTTTTGCACAAGCAACTAACATCAAGGAGCCCATCCTATTGATGGTTGCTAAGGACAAGTAACATGACCCAGCGCAAGATTGTCAATAGCCCGATTTGGCTATGGCAGAGGCAGCATTTCTGCCATCAATAACATGGTGGCCACCTCTTCCACAACAGCTGGTAGCAAGTAGAGCAAGACTAGTGTCACCAACATATACCATTTTTGGTGGCAGTGATACGCTGCACCAGCATGAACGCCTCTCTTATGCATTCTCATATATCAACTACTACATGTCTACATATGGGCCTCCCATGGTCTCCTTGTGTTATACAATTTTAGCTTCACCACCCATTAATCCTCTCTATCAGCTATGATCAATAGGTTGGACCAACAAATAAGGATTAAAAGAACTTTAATTGATTGAACTAAATGATACAACTCCAGGGAAAAACACGTACCACATGTGGAAGCTATCCATACCACAAAACTAATAGAATATGAATGTTCACTAGCAGTAGGGACCTACTCTAAGGTTGTTGTCTCAACAATACTAGAAATTTATAAGATTCTAGTTTTCACATTTCTACACCTTCCCACCGCCTAGCTTTGTAGCATCCTGACCCTTTGCAGCAAACTGGATCTATTATGAAATTGTAGACAGGCTCCAAAGATCCACAAAAGTAAATTTAGCCTGCTTTGTCCTTACTCGCACACAAGCTAGAAAACTTTCCAAGGAGTTGTGCATTAAGGATCTACCCCAGTGCAAGTAGGATTAGTCATAAGCTGTTACTCTGGGCTCCAAAAAAGAAAGATATGCCTTATTGATATGAACAGTCTTATTAATCCTCTTAAACTATTTTCAAATTTTGGGAGTGTTATATAACTTATATTTCCTCCCACTTAAGAAAGCAATGTTTTTGTTGTGTCCCAAAATTCTTTCCCTTTCCGGGTGGCTAACAAGTTGATCCAACTATAGTGCGTCGTCATATGTTGATTCTAGTACCATTTGTAATACCCCAGCCCTTTTGTAGTGTGCCAAATGTGGCTCAAAAATCAACATGAGTTTCTTTCAACATGTTTTATCCTCACTCGTATGCATCATGGGAAACTTCCTGAGTCATCCATTCTAAATTTACCCCAAACCAAGCATGCTTAATTATGTCGCCGCTCTGGTGGATTCCCAAAAAAGGAACGTAAATCTTGTAGATATGACTAGTGTCATAGTGCTTCTTACGTCATTTCTAAATTCTCTTTTGTTATGAGCTTCTTTTAAACAGTAAGATTGCTCATGAAAAAATGTATAATTGTATATGTTAATGTACAGAACAGAAAGCTTTATGAGATTAACAAGACAAACATTAGATATCTCCATCCAATTTAACCAATAGATATGATTCAAACATGGAGTGCGGCTTATCTCAAATAACATGCTTAATTATGTCGCCGCTCTGGTGGATTCCCAAAAAAGGAACGTAAATCTTGTAGATATGACTAGTCTCATAGTGCTTCTTACATCATTTCTAAATTCTCTTTTGTTATGAGCTTCTTTTAAACAGTAAGATTGCTCATGAAAAAATGTATAATTGTATATGTTAATGTACAGAACAGAAAGCTTTATGAGATTAACAAGACAAACATTAGATATCTCCATCCAATTTAACCAATAGATATGATTCAAACATGGAGCGCGGCTTATCTCAAATAACATACTTACAATTTGGTACATCAGGAGGAAGACTTTGGTAATTCTCTGCTTGAATAATCTGCTTGAGATGTTTCCACCGTACTCTTGCTTGCCCCTTCGGATATTTTTCATACATTTGGATTTTCTTAAACTTGAAATGATTAGGCAAAACCAATTCAGCGTCCACAACTTCAGGCTCCATTTACTAGCAGAAGGTGTGGAGATTTTAAATTCAAAGACAACTTTAGAGTTACAAACATTTATACTGCATAAGAGAAAGGAAAAAACCATAGAGATAGATATATTCCATCATGCCAAAAAGTACTACTGCTGTTTTCTATGCAGAATCACTGATTCATTATTCATTCATCTTAATTTCTTCTTGTTTGCCTATAACCCTAGGCATGCATCCGAATTTATAACAATCCAAATGAAAAACGCACAAAATTCATAAAAGAAATTGCCCACATATTAACTTACCACAGAAAAACACAAAACCCATTACAAAGGCACAACATTAACCTCGTGAAACTTCAACTCACTAGTATGGCTTAAATTCTCAATTAACACACACAAAAGCAGCATCGTATAATTATATACATATATATATATATATATATTTATAGCAATTTAATAACCAGATGGAAGACGAAACTTTTCTGGAAAAAAAAGAAAGAAAGAAAAGAAAAGAAAAGAAAAAGCTGCAGAGACTCGAAAGGCAACACAATTCAAAGCCAAAATCCGCAGCCACAATGTCAATACTAATAGCGATAACACAAAATCCCAAATTCTCAAGTAAAATGTTAAACCAAACCTTCCAGCACTGCTCTGCCGGAGAGGAACGCAAGGAAAAAAGCACAGCTGAAGAGAAAACCGGTGAAGCTCCGGTAGAATCCTTCCGTTGATTTCAATCCTCCCGCGACAGTGATGGAAGAAGACAAGAAGCATATAAGAATTGGGCCTCCTCGGCCTACATATAAGCGGGCTCAGCCCTAAGACATTAATGGAAAATGTCAGGCCTTTTACTGGGCCCTAATTAAATTTACGTAAATACCCTTGGAGCAGTTCTTTTAATTCCGTAGGGCTTTGAGGCTTGGGGAGAAGAATTGTTTGCGAGATCGATCCTCGTCTTCAGGCGTAGCGAAGCCCTCTTAGCAGAAGATTTCTGATCTGGAAATGACGCCGCCTCCCGGACCCTACTCCGGCAAGAGCTCACTTGCTTTGGTAATTTCCATTTCCAGTATTGGTTTTGCGCCTATCGGCCTACCGTCTTCTGTGTGTGTTTGAATTGTGAATTGTATTTGGTTTTCGATGAATCGCAGGTGGCTAGGGCTTCAGCTTTCACGTTCGGAATTGTTTACGGGAGTGTGAAGCTTAAGATTCTTAAGGTTTCTATTTCCGTTTGCTTTTTTTTTTTTTTTTTCCCCGATGCGGTTTTACTTCCTGCCTATCTCTGATTCACTACGGGATTGATATATGGATCATTGGATTGATGTTCTTTTCTTTATTTAAGCATTTATATGAGCTTCAACTCTGTCTTTTTTTTTTATAGCTACTCAATTTGAATTTTGTTCTTGCCGTTTGATTTATTTGTTTGTAATTTCATATAGGTTATTGAGTCTTAGGCTAAACTTTGAGAATCTAGATCAGAGATATATTGAAAATTAAAAAGTCTTGTGATAGAGCTTTTGTTTCTACATAAGTGATCAGATTTGGAAATGGAATTGTAGATAGAAATTGATTCTATGGCACTCCTTAAGAATGGGCGATGTATATATTTGTTGTAATGAATAATATGTAAGTAATCATTGAAGAAATTTAGCCATTGGAGTTGCCTCTTGTCGGTTCTGTTTGTGCATTGAGCCATGGCTTTGATGAGGGACAGAGGTGGAGTTTGTTCTGGTCAATGTAGAGGTTCATGATGTGGTGATACTGAATCCCATATGATCGAACATTGTTTATATTATGCTTGTACTATGATTGAGAGATCCACAATAAAAGTTAGTCGAATGATGAGATTGCATTGTCGTAATTATCCTGATGAGTCATTAAAATTACCTTATATAGCAGCTTTTACCATAGCGATCATAATACATAAGATCAATTGCAAAGATCTTACTTAAGCCCACATAAAAACATATTGCACATGATAGCTCTTGTGCTAATATTTACGAGATCAACAATACAAGTTTGTTGAATTATGAGAGACCATTAGCATATTTCACCTAGTGCAAAATTGAGGTTACCTTGTCAATGGATGTTATGACAATTCATGAATTATATTACTTGCCAGACCAAAGGATTAATGTATTGTTCTTGAGACGTTGAAATGAGTAGCCCTCGCTAATGCATGGCTATTCACAAAGGATGTCTATTTCTGTTAAGAGCACATGTAAAATAAAGTTATACTTAGTGGTATTTATCATACTACTCCATTAGCACTAAAAGGCCTGCATAAAATGCTCGCTAGGACATAGAAATTATTGTATTGGATTAATATTGTTGGTGTGTTACAACTTACAAGGCCAATGATTCAGATACTGTCTCAATGACCAACTAGTTGAGGAAATAACACCAAATAACATTGTTGTTATATCATGCTTCTTTTTGCACTTGTATAGCTTCTCTCTATGACTATTCTCAAAATGGTTTATATGGCATTGCTTGGCTGTATTTTTTTCCTTGCTCGATTGTTTCTGACACATCTATGGCTGCTCTTTTCACTTGACACGACAACACTGTAGAGGCTAACGTCCTAATTCTATCTCTACTTTGCTAGATGAAAGCTAAATCCCACAAGAAAGCTGAAGCCAAGGGACATCATTAGAAGAACACCTTGTGTCGAGCACATGGTATTTTGTGTCTGATCAAAATAATGGTAGAGATAAATCCATTCTTGATTATGGTCTGATCTGCAGTGGACTATCACTGTTTTTTCTCATTTTTAAGGTGCTTCTTCTCCCTTTGGGATTAATCGTTGAATACAATTTTACCATATTTTTGTTTCAATTTCTTTATGCACCAATGACTTTGGGTGTCATATGAAATGGTTCCATGGGAAACCATTTCAGACTCTGCAGCTTTCTTGAATGTGCATTGCAAAAGCAAATTGCAAATAATATATCATCGATGCCTTAACTTCACCGCCATTCTTAAAGCTTTATTATCCATCATATGAATCAGCTATATGAATTGAAAACAAGTTTTTTTATTTTTTTAATATATATTTAAATAAAATATACGTGTTGCTTGTGATTTGTAAAGAAATTTTTTAATGAATAATACCAAAATAGAGGTACAGTACATATATATATATGTATATATTATTTAGTAAATTATTATCCAAAATTTTGAAATTTGAAATTTTTAAAAATTTAAATTATCAATAATTATTTATATGAATATAATTTGAATTTATTTTAAAATATCACATTTACCTACGTATTTTTTAATTATATTATATATATATATATATTTAATTTCAACATTAATTATTTTTTCAGATTTTCATATTAATTTTTTCTTCAACTAGTTTTTTAAAAAAGTTGTTGGAAATAAATTTTTTTGGGTAATGTATTAATCAAAGTTAATTTCAACCATTCAAGTTTTTAAATATTATTAATTTCACAAATTCGAATAATTTTAATATTTAAAAATATAATAAAGATTATATAATATTATTACAATTTATATAAATTACTTCCTCCGGTAGATAAAAAATGTAGGACGAGGACGAGGGAGTAATATTTTTAAATTAAAATATAATATTATATAATACATATTATTTATATATTATTAAACAATAAAAATATGTAAAAATAAATAATTACTATGAAGTTATAAAATTATAAAAGTTATGTGGGGGAGGTGATAATGTTATAATGGGTGTTAAAAACCGGTAATTGAATGTTGATGTAAATATGATTAGAACATGAGAGAGAAGAAAAATAATGCAGTAGAGATTTTCAACATGAGTATATATATTAATTAAGGGTGTGTTTGTTTGGGGATTCTTCCAAAAATTTACTATTAATAAAAAGTTTTCTCCCCAAAATATTAAATTAAACATCTATTTTTTTTTTTTCTATATTATACTAAAAATCAATTTTATATTCAAGATATCACATCATACAACAATCAAATTCAAAATTTTTATTATTTAAATCTTAACTTAAAATCCAAACTACCAAACAAACACACCCTAAGTATAAATGGAGATTGAAGTAATGTTTTAAAGAGTATTTTAATACTCCTCCTTCCCGGTGCAATGTTGTCATTTACTTTTTGCATGTAAATTTTTTAATATTAGTATTATAATGAGATACAGTGAAAAAGACGAATATACTCCTATTAGCATTGTGTAATATAAAAGTAATGACATTTGCGTAATATAATGCAAGTTGGAAGGGTATTTATTATGTTAGATAGGTAGTACAATTACTAAATTAGGAAATGGTAACCTTGTTTTGAGGAAGACAAAAATGGAAAATGACAACATTTCAATGGGACCGAGGGAGTATAATATTTTGTGATAGTAAATACCTATATTTTTAATTAAATTGTAATAATAAAATATACTACTCCAATTAATTCTATCTTAAATATTATACTCCTCCGTCCACTTGATAAGTTTACATTTACCTTTTGCATCATTGTATTTAACATTAAAAATATCATTATATTTGTATAGTGTTTTATATAAATGTCATTCTATTAGTAATACAAGACACTAATAAAAATATTTTTATTTGATATAATAATTAATATTAAAATATCAATACATAAAAAATAAATGTAAACTTTAAAATTGACGAAGGGAGTATAACATAAAATGTGTGCAATAATAAATATACTAACTAATTTTATTGTACATATTATTTTTGTATTTATAGATATAAAATACTCCCTCCGTCATGCTCTAAGGGTCTCATTTACTTTTTGCATCATTGTACATAACATTAAAAATAACTTTATATTTGTATAATTTATTGAACAAATATTATTATAATAGTATTATAGACACTAATAGAAGTATTTTTTTGCCCTTTTACCTTTAATTTGTACTACGTTTTCATATAATAATTAGTATTCAAATATCAACACACAAAAAGTAAATGAGACCCTTAGAGCCGGACGTAAGTAGTATTTATAATTTATAAAAATAAAAATAAAAACAATGTTTTATATTAACTAAGGATTGTTATATACTATGCATAAAAAATGGATGCATTATGACCAGGGCCGTCTCAGACTTTTTCAGGACCTTGAGCAAAAATAAATTTTAGACCCTATAAACACACAACTAAATATATTTTTAAAATGATATGATTGGTATTGGTGTCGGCTAGACAAGAAGTTGAAAGCAATGGTTTGACGACGGTGTTGACTTGAGAGAAAAAGATGAAAATCGAACTGACGGCGCTTCATTTGGAGGTTCGAATAGTGAGAAAAACGGAAAGAAGATGAACGAGAAAGTAGAGAGAGGGAGAAGTGGGTTTTGGTCTGGGTGAGTGGGTGGACACGGCAAAGATGTGAGTGAAATGAGAGAGGTGTAAATGGCATTGAAAGATGTAATGCAGTGTTGTTAGAAATAAAAAAAAAAAAAGAAAGAAAAAGATAAGATTAGATTTTTAAATTTAATATTAAAATAAAAATTAAATTAGAAAATAATGAAAAATATAAAATATAAAATACAATTTAATATTTAATAATTATAATAGGCTAACATTTAAGAAAAAAAAAAGACCTTTTTAATTAGGGCTTGTGCAGTTGCTAATAGCAGCCCTAATTATGACTATGATTACCCTTTGCACTGTTGATGTATGTCTTTCTTGACCTACACAAAAATGCAAGTCATAACTCTCATACTTTCTCACTTTTCCCTCACGGCTCTCTCCCCTCTCTCTATCATATATCAATTACATCATCACAACATATATAAACATACTAGTACTCGTGTGAGCGCGCCTAAGTCGCGCAAGTTTTTGTTATGATAGAATATTTTTTGTAATTTTTTTTATATAAATATGTTGTTTGAGTTCTGTTACGCACAAAAAATAATAATAATAAATAATGGCAGTGGGATTCTGGACGGGTCTGGATGTAAGTTAAATGACCCAGAAGTCGGGTGCAATCGGAGAGAATAAAGGTCGGGAAAAGGAAGAAAGGTCGGGCGGAGTCTAAAAAAAAAGGGTGTACCCAAGTCGGGTAAACCGTAGATCGGGTGAAAGGCGAAGTCGGGCAGACGCGGAGGTCTGTCAAGAGGAAGGTCGGGCAAGGAAGATGTACGGACAGACGCGGAGGTCTTCGGTCAAAGACGGAGGGCGGCTGGTGCGGAGGTCGGCCAAGTGTCAAAGACGGAGGGCGGCTGATGCGGAGGTCGGCCAAGTGAGGTCGGGCGAAGAAGCAGGTCGGGCGAAGGACGAAGTCGGGCAAAAGAAATTTGGCAGTGGACAGGCAGGTCTGAGTTCTGTAACTGGTGGGAACAGTTGAAGGAAGTTGTAATACGTGTCAATAGAGGAGAAATTGGTGGTCGGTTGACAGCGGTTGCTGTAACTGACCAGACGGCGGTTCAAACCGTTTTCTTCAAAGGTTATTTAAGGATTCAGATTTATTCTGAAAAGGCATCTTCAATCAACTTCAACAAAGCAAAGTCAGATTTGGGGATCACCACTTTAAATTTCAGTCTTTTATTTTCCAGTTTATTTTCTGTACCGTACAGTGTTTAGAGATTCCTAATCTCAGGCACTAATTAATCAAGTTTAAGGATATTTTCTATATCTTTGAATTTTACTTTATTTTTGTTGAAAAATTACATCAACAAATTGGCGACCACAGTGGGAGAAAGGCAAGATTGCTGATCCTACATCAATACAAAATGTCATACAACTGAGGTCTGGCCGAATCATCAGAAAAATCAATATGGCAGACACACAACCTCAATCATCATCAGCACCGGTGGGAGAGAATGTTTCCCCACCAGTCATGCCAAATCCAGGGGAGATTCCCCCACCACCTACCGATTGGTTGTCTTATGTTCAACAAATGAACAACCAGCAAACTTTGGTTATGCAGAACATGTTGCGTGAGCAACAAACGAACATGTTGCGTGAACAACAAAATCTAATGCAAAACATGTTGGATCAGGCATTCTCCAGATTCACCCTGTATCCAAACATGCTTCCAGCCGTGTCACCTTCTCGTTTTCAGGCGACTTTCTCAGGATCAACGTTTGCAGAACCATCATATGTTGATAGTACATTTCCAAGCGTCACAACTTTCAACCGAACAGATATGGGGAAGATTCCTCTAACTTTCCCAGATAATGTTCCTTTGGGACTGAGGGTTGATAATACCCAGCCGAATGAGAGATTAGGAGGACAGACTCATAATCCCATTCCAACCGAACCAGCCTTCTCTAGAGAAGAAAGGTTGGAGGGACAGACTCATAATCCTATCCCAGCCGAACCAGCCTTCTCCAGAGAAGAAAGATTGGGAGGTCAGACTCACGATCACATTCCAGTGTTCGACCATATTCCACCCAAGGGACAGACTCATAATCCCATCTCAGCCGAACCAGCCTTCTCCAGAGAAGAAAGATTGGGAGGTCAGACTCACGATCACATTCCAGTGTTCGACCATATTCCACCCAAAGTAGATCCGGAGGATATTGCTCAAGTTCTGCGGGTGCATTTCGGAATGAATCCGCAAACGGTGAACAGGCCAGTTTACCAGAGGCCATTTCCAGAAAGGATCATTAATGATCATCCTCTCCCGAGAAATTATAGGCCACCAGACTTCTATTCTTTTTCGGGAGAAGACGGAGCCTCTACCATTGAGCATGTGGGTCGCTTCACGGCTCAATTGGGAGAAGTAGGCAACAATCCGTTTCACAAGTTACAATTGTTTGGGTTGTCGCTCACAAGAACAGCTTTTTCTTGGTATGTCAGTCTGCCGCCTGGACAGTTGCAAACTTGGGAAGATTTAGAGGCAGATTTTCATGGAAGGTTCTTTAATCCTCTGCCGACAGTCTCACTGATAGACCTTCTGGAGATCACGCAGATGCCGGAAGAGACCGGCTACCAATTCATAGAGAGGATGCGATTGATGAAGGGACGATGTCCTACGATGATCAATGAAAGCGAAATGACCAATTTGGTGGTCAGGAACATGCATACCAGACTTCGCAAGGCCCTGACAGCCCACGACTTTCAAGATCTGGCCAGTTTAGCATCCACGACAAGAAGGTTAGAATCCTTTTTTACAGAAATTAATCATGACTTCCGTCAGGGGGGAGATGCTGAAGCAATGTTAGTGCAAGATCGACCAACGTCCAGGCCAGCACCATTCCGCGATAAATGGAGGTCGGGTCCAACGTAGCCTCGAAGGATGGAGGTCGGATCTGAGGCTGACGTAGCCTCGGATGCCGGCCTGCAAACTCCTAAAACATCACTGGAAGTGATGTTTAGGAGTCTTGAGGAGGAGGCTTATTGTTACGCACAAAAAATAATAATAATAAATAATGGCAGTGGGATTCTGGACGGGTCTGGATGTAAGTTAAATGACCCAGAAGTCGGGTGCATTCGGAGAGAATAAAGGTCGGGAAAAGGAAGAAAGGTCGGGCGGAGTCTAAAAAAAAAGGGTGTACCCAAGTCGGGTAAACCGTAGATCGGGTGAAAGGCGAAGTCGGGCAGACGCGGAGGTCTGTCAAGAGGAAGGTCGGGCAAGGAAGATGTACGGACAGACGCGGAGGTCTTCGGTCAAAGACGGAGGGCGGCTGGTGCGGAGGTCGGCCAAGTGTCAAAGACGGAGGGCGGCTGATGCGGAGGTCGGCCAAGTGAGGTCGGGCGAAGAAGCAGGTCGGGCGAAGGACGAAGTCGGGCAAAAGAAATTTGGCAGTGGACAGGCAGGTCTGAGTTCTGTAACTGGTGGGAACAGTTGAAGGAAGTTGTAATACGTGTCAATAGAGGAGAAATTGGTGGTCGGTTGACAGCGGTTGCTGTAACTGACCAGACGGCGGTTCAAACCGTTTTCTTCAAAGGTTATTTAAGGATTCAGATTTATTCTGAAAAGGCATCTTCAATCAACTTCAACAAAGCAAAGTCAGATTTGGGGATCACCACTTTAAATTTCAGTCTTTTATTTTCCAGTTTATTTTCTGTACCGTACAGTGTTTAGAGATTCCTAATCTCAGGCACTAATTAATCAAGTTTAAGGATATTTTCTATATCTTTGAATTTTACTTTATTTTTGTTGAAAAATTACATCAACAAGTTCATTAGCGGTGCATATTTTACATTTTTAATTTCTTGAAAGAAAAGATAATATAAATATATTTTAGAAAAAAAAGAAAAAAAAATTGACCGATTTAATTTTACGAAAGAGGAAGAGAATGAGAGAAAATGAGAAAAATAATATAAATATTGTTACGTACAAAAAATAATAATAATAATAATAATAATAATAATAATAATAATAATAATAATAATAATAATAATAATAATAATAATAATGGTAGCAGATCTTAGCAGAGGTCGGATAAGATAAGGTCAAACGAAGAAAGATGAGATGGCAGATGCGGAGGTCGGACAAGATAAGGTTGGGCGAAGAAAAGGTCTGTTGGTTGGTCGCTTAATTAAGCGACCTGTTAATCGCCTGATCGATTCGCCGGTCATTTGGTCAAAATAGTAGTTCAGTCGCTTCAAAGGGCGGTTAGTTGGTTGCTTGATGGGGCGACCAATGAATCGTCTGAACAATTGGTTGTTCGGCCGTTTGAAGGGACCAGATGGTGATCGCTTGATTGTCTCATCCATTTTCGCACGACCTTATCTTGTCCGACTTTCTTTAAGACTCTGCTACCATTATTATTATTATTATTATTATTATTATTATTATTTGTACATAACAATTCCTAATTTGAGTGTTCAGCAGACCAGACATTCTTAAATAACGATGGTCAAAGAGTTAGATGCAGAGTTTAGAAAATCTTGAAGAGTCGGACGCAGTATTGAAAATATGAAAATTTGGCGTAATTTTGTGAAATTTTATATAAATTTTATATAGTTTTGCTATATATATATCAAGTCGTATTTATACGTTTGCATAGTTTATCGTCCATTGTGAATCTCATTTCAATTGGCTGCACAGATATAAAAATATATATTTATATAATTTATTATATTTATTTCTCTCATCTTTCTATCCCAACCGACTAAATACTGGACGGGTGGTTAGTCGGTTGGCCTTAGAGAGACCTTATAATTCAACTGATTATATTCTAATCTAACAGTCGAAATGAGAGACAAAAGCAAAATTGTAATATGAATTGACTTTTTTTGTCCAGTTACCGATAATATGCTCTTTGGAGTCATTTTTTACAAACTTCACACACAAATTTATTTTTCACCATTAGTGACTTTGGAGACAATACAATGACGTCGGTGTTTGGATCTGTAATACATACGAAATTTGATTAATTAATTTGTAGAATCAGAAAACATAGAATTAGAGATTTTGTTTGTTGAAATTATGGTTTATGGTACTTGCTTGGATTTCTAGATTGATATATTTTTTTTCTTGGTGGATAATGGAGTTATCAACGAGAGCATATGATTCGATGAGAAAGAACAAAGTTTACTCACCGAGAGTAAAACTTTTGTAGAAAAGAAGACAAAATATATAACTAAGAACACCATTACCGTTAATAATGCGATCAAAATAATCAATGTTTAATAGCAAGAGTAAACATTAACACCGTGACCCAAGTGATTTATTTTTTTCAAGCTTCCAATATTGTGTTCTTTTGTTCTCTTCCCAAGCTTTATTTTTAATTATCATATATATATTTTTATTATTTTCAATCATTTCAAATATCATAAGCAAGATATCACCTGGAAATTTGGTCGATATATAATAGATATAACTTATAGATCAAGCCTGAATTTTGTTTATTTTTAAAATGAGTGAACCTAAAAGAGGAGTGAGATCAAATGAAGATCCAAATGAACTTTGCAGCTAAGTCAAAATTTGTTGTCAGCTTTGTTGAATATCGTTCAAATATAATATTAATTGATTCGATCAACCACATTTTCCGTGATATGTAAGGCCGAGGTAGCAGCATACGCACATATATGTACACACATATATATATATCTTATTATTACTATTATTATTATTATTATTATTATTATTTGTTGTATGGGATAAGTTAATTAAATCAACTATGCTATGTAAGTGTAGTGCGTTCCGAACACGATAGCCGTCCAAGATTATTTTAAGAACCGGCTGCGATCCACGTGGCTCAACCACGAGCCGATTCGTGGATTCGTCGTCTCGGAAACCGGATCCATTCACGCCCATAAATACATACACGTACGCACTACAAAACTTGCTAATTAATTCTGGAAGGAGGAAAAGAAAAAGAAGAGATTAGACGAAAAAACACACAATACACAATGAAGGAGAAGAGCGCGACGGTGATGGACGGCTCTGATTTAAAGAAACTGGTGGAGAACGACAATGTGCTCACCAATTTCGTTGACCATAAGTTCCAGGAATTGGACGCCGACCGCGACGGGCAGCTGTCGGTCAAGGAGCTGCAGCCCGCCGTCGCCGACATAGGCGCCGCCCTTGGCCTGCCGCCCAAGGGAAATTCCTCCGAAGCCGATCACATTTACACTGAGGTTTGATGTCACTCGTTACGTCATTCGTACATACGTGGCAGTTAGTTATTTAATTTCTTGGTTGATTGAAGGTCCTAAATGAGTTTACGGAAAATGGAAAAGAGAGAAAGACGAGCAAGAGCAAGTTCAAAGAGGTCCTGTCAGACATTCTACTAGGCATGGCCTCCGGGCTCGAACGGGACCCTGTCGTCATCCTCCGAATGGACGGCGACGACCTCCACGAGTTTCTCACGTGCCCTGCTTTCGAACCGGAGCTGCTCTCCATTTATTCGGAGATGCAGCAGCAGGAGACTACATTGTCCGGAACCACCCTCAAGGACTACATCGTCAACGCCTTCGAGAAGCTCACTGTCGACCAGGGAATGCCCCCAGCCACCGATCCTTGGGTAATAATAATAATAATAATAATAATAATAATAATAATAGTTACTACTAATTATGCATTAATAATAATGTCGATTAATTTGCAGGTGAAGAATAACCTAGTGGAGCCTTCCATGGAATTCCTGGAGGATGAGGATGTCTCGCAGGGGGCATTCTTAGCCGGGTTCAGCCGAGCTGCGGAGAGGCTGGCGCGGCGGCTCAAGGAGCAGCCGGCTACTGTGGCTCACAGCCAGAACGTGTTCGATGGGAGTGGAATCAAGCGGCTGCTGTCCAACAAAGCTGAGCTGGATCAGGCGATGGAGTCTGCGTTGCAGCAGGTTTCTTCCAAAGAGAGACACGGGAAAGTATCAAAGGATTATTTGGGCGTGGCGCTCGATTCCTTGGCTGCTTCTGCTTCCTTACCTCCATTGGGAGCCGTTCATCAGGTAACTGCATAGTACATACAGTAGTCATACATACATATGTAGTAATATATATATATATATATGGTATGTAGATGGATGATGTGATGTTGTCGGCACTGAAAATGGTGGAGGCGAGCGATGGGAAAAGAGTGAAGGAGAGAGAGTTCAAGAGGTTACTAACACAAGTTCTGGGAAGCATAATGCTACAATTGAATGGCAATCCAATTTCGGTGTCCGTAAACTCAGTGGTGCACGAGGCACTACCGTCTTCATCCACCCTTCTGCAACCATAGCCCAAGTTAGATTTGTTGTTTTGTGTAGCAACATTAAATTTAAATTATGAGATGTTGGATCATGAGGTTGGAATTGGAGGCTGTAAAATTATAATGTCAAATTATTTGCGGCAAGGAAATGTTTAACATTTTAATCGTATAAATATACCTTAACAACAACAACAATAATCAGGGAAAAAGTTTCTCATAGTAAATTATAATAATAAATTTTTGTAGTATCATTTTTTTTTCTCACTAATTTTAATCTAATTAAGATTAAAATTAATTAATTTTCTTTTTATTTTAAATTAAAATTGATCAAAGCATACACCTACTTATCACGCTCCCAAAGAGAACTTCTCTCAACTTAGACATACACCTACTTATGATCAAAATCAAGAATTATTTATTTGGGATCGGAGGATTTGCCTATTTAGGTTGCCTATTTGGGATCAACTCAGGACTTATTTAAGATAATTTATTTGGGATCGAACTGAGGATTTACCTATTTGGGATCAAATTCACGACTTACTCACGAATTATCTATTTGGGATCGAACTGAGGATTTACCTATTTGGGATCAAACTTATGACTTACTTACCAGAAATCAAACTCATCATCATATTCTGGATCAAATTCAGTACTTAGCCTCAAGCCAAGAATATCTTACCACTTGATTTACAATGGTTAAGGTTTGTCTATCAAGTGATAGTAGTTGCTACTGAGAAACAATAAAAATACAAACCCAAATAAATATATTGTAGGCTAAAACAACAAGTGGAAGGAAAAACAAAAACTTTTAAGGAAACCCAAATAAGGTATTGGATAAAAAACAGTCGCCGTGTAGATTAATATTTTGGATAAAGAAAAAAAAAATCGATGTGTAGAATAATTGTAAATGAAATAGAAAATTTTGTTACTTTAACGTCTGCTATGATTCATTCCTACACCATTTTAAAGTAGATAAATTAATACACATTCAAGAAAATTATTTAATTTATTGATAAAGGTGTCTTTCAAAGTCTTCTAAATGACTAAACTTTATTAATTACTTCAACTAACGTCAATTAATATGACACAAGTTTAATTACATGCCATCATTTTTTTCCTTAAACTTGATGTTCTCTATCATAAAATCGTTTAAATAAGATAAAAATTCTACAAAATCTTTTAAATAATACAATTATCATATATATATAATATATTTTCTAAATATATCTGTTGAGGTATTTTTTCAACAATAAAAAAAAGTAAAATTCGAAAATAGAAAATTATCTTCGAATTTGATATAATTAGTGCCTGAGATTAGGAATCTCTAAACACTGTACGGTGCATAATTAAACCGGAAAATAAATGCTACAGACTGAAAATTAAATGATGATCCCCGAATCACTGACTTTGCAGTCACTTGAAGATGATTGAAGATCCTTTGCCAGTTGCTGACCCCAATCCTTAAATATTCCTCAGAGACAGTACCTGGAACCGTCGCCCAAACGGTTACAATGCCTCCTCTCAACTGTCTACTAATTCCTCTTTTGTTGACACGTGTTCTCAACCGTCTTACCAACCGCGTAACCCAACCGACCAAGCTACTGTTCTCACTCGATCTCCGCAGCATCCGAACTCAACAACAACCGACTTGCTCATCCGACCGCAGACCAATCGACCTGCCTGTCCGACCACGGCCCTTCCGACCTTCTTATCCGATTGTGGACCAACCGACCTACCCGTCCGACTACGGACCTTCCGACTTACTTATCCGACCTCGAACCAACCGACCTGCTTATCCGACCGCGGACCTTCCGACTTGCTTATCCAACTGCGGATCAACAGACCTGCCTGTCCGACCGCGGACCTTCCGACTTACTTATCTGACCGCGAACCAACCGACCCGCCTGTCCGACCACGGACCTTCCGACTTGCTTATCCAACTGCGAACCAACCGACCTGTCTGTCCAAACGCGGACCTTCCGACTTGCGAACCGTCCGATCCGCGGACCATCCGACTTGCGGACCATCCGACCTGTGGACTGTCCGACTTGCAGACTGTCCGACTCGCAAACCATCCGACCTGCGGACCATCTAACTTGCCCATTTTCTTAGAAGGATGTCCGTTTCAACCGATTATCTTGAAACACCCCTTAATTAGTCTAACGAACCCCAATTACAGGCCTACATCTCTTTCTAGCTTGGGCCTTGTAATCTAATTATAAAATTCATATGCTTCAAACTACCTTTTCCAAACTAAAAACCAATACTCACATAATATTAGATACATTATTGTTGATGTGTTTTTTCAACAAACAAAAAATAAAATTCAAAGATATGGAAAATATCTTTAAACTTGATTAATTAGTGTCTGAGATTAGAAATCTCTAAACACTGTAAGGTACATAGAGAAATTAACTGGAAAATAAAATGCTGGAAATTTAAAGTGGTGATCCCCAAATCTGACTTTGCTTTGTTGAAGTTGATTGAAGATGATTATAGAAGAAAAATCTAAATCCTTAAATACTTCTTGAAAAGACGCGTTGGAACCGTCGCCAGCAACCGCCGTCAACCGCCCAAAAGAAACGTTTTGAAACGTCGCCTGGTCAGTTACAGCAACCGTCTTGTCAACTGCATAACCCAACCGACTAATCCAGCGACTAACTGGTCGCTAGACCAAAAGACTCATTGACCGCCCCCACCAAGCGACCAAACTACTTTTCACTTAAGTGGGCAATCAATTACCAGACCTTACTTCGCCCGACCTCCGTAGCAGCCGACTTTACTTGCTCCGATCACGTACCAACCGACTTGCTTATCTGACCTGCTGACCATCAGACCTGTCTGTCCGACCTGCTAACCATCAGCCTGAGGACCTCCCGACCTGAAGACCTTCCGACCTGCGGACCTCCCGACCTGAGGACCTTTGGCCTGCGGACCTCCCGAATTGAGGACGTTCCGACCTGCGGACCTCCCGAACTGAGGGCCTCCTAACCTGAGGACCTTCCGACCTGAGGACCTCCCGACCTGAGGACCTTCCGACCTGCGGACCTCCCGACCTGAGAACCTTCCGACCTGCGGACTTTCCGTCCTGACAAACCGACCAAGGACCTCCCGACCTGACCACAAATTTTTTTCTTTTTCACCCGACTTCGAATCTAACTTTCTTTAAAATCCTGCTATCCTTATTTTTTTTATTATTATTTTTTGTACGTAACAATTATATTTCCATCTACAGGGACCCAGAGCTATACCGCAGCGTCCATTTGAAGCAGCCGACGAATCGTCCATTGCAATACCAGTTGCCCATTCTTCCAAACCTATAACAATCCTGGCACCTTCTGCGACCACGTTCCGCCCAGAAGTAAGTAAAGTTTTCACAACTAATTCTTGATATTGTGCTTCATGTGATATGAACAAATAAAAATCCATTCTCTCAGGGATGTCTTGATCTAGCCCCTCTGTCAGCTGTTCCAGTTCCGGCAGACGTCCAAACCATAATTGCTCAGGCTGTCGACCAACCTTTCCCCGACCTGGGGTCAGACTTGTTAGACGGTCTTCTTCAGGCAATTGGCGGCCTTCTATTTCAAATTCCTTCAGAATCGGCAGCCGCCCCCATTCTTCATCGGCTGATGGAGAGACTATCCGAACTCCGAAACGACATCTTATTTGCCCAACTCCTGTCAGCTGAAACACCCCTACCTAATACGGATCAAATAAGTCTGGAGGTTTCCTTGACAAAAACCAGGGAATCAATCCAACAAGAAACTGAAAGACTAGACGGCCTCTCTAATGCCAAAACACAAATAGACGAATCGATTCAAAAGAAGGAGGCAGAATTGAGAGCACTTCATCAAGAAAAATCTGTATAAGAAAAATGAGGCCGACTTGGACCAAGAATTAAAGATTCACGCCCGATCTCAACTTATAAGACAATACCAGTCGACTGCTAACACCAGACGACTTTCCAGGACAGAAGATAAATGGTCCCAGATTAAAACCTCTTTGGGGTCCCTTCTGTAAAATTTTGGAAACCTTGACCTAGTAAATAAATTTTTTCTCCTGTTGCCAAGGATCACCTTCCAAAATCCGAATCTCCAGAGAAAAATCAAACTCATTTCCTTTATAAATATTTTCGCTCCCCTGTAAAAATAAACTAATCGCCCAACCACAATTTGAACCTCGAACACACTTGAAATATTTATTAAAATGTCACACAAACGTCCTCATATTCCTGTAAGCAACTGGCAAGGTGTTATTCAACCATTCTTCGAGGGTAATCATCCAGTTGAAGGCCATGCCGAGGACTTTTTATGCATACTCAAACAATTGGATTTCAAATTCAAATTCTCCCACCGAGGCAGAAAAACCATTCATCGTGTTATTCGCTTGATGGAAAACGTGCTGGCAGGATATGAGACCTTTCGGGATATACAAAATCGCCTTCCTGACATCGATCACCATATGGACTTGATTGAACATCATGTGACAGCCATACTCCCAGACCTTGGCTGGGCTCATATATTTTCCAATCAGCGCGCAGTCTTTTCGAGATTACGCACTCTTGTTGATCGCGAGCGTCAAGCCGTAGCAGACATGAAAGCTCGTACCGACTATGATCTAGAAAAGATGCAAGATCAATGGGGAAAGTACCGACCCGACTTAGAAGACCTTGTCGATGAAGAACCAGAATTGATCCCTAATCACTGGGATGAAGATTCTGATTCAGAAGAAGGGAGTTCTCTGCATGACTCAATATCTGATTAACGAATGAACCCTTTTTGGGTCCGAACCCCTATGGTCGGGTTCCACAATAAAATTTCTTGTTTCATGCGTTCTTGTAATCTGAAAATGCGGAAAAATACATTTTCAGATATCTAGCATTAATACAATCATGTACTTTTTTACCTTCTTGATTTATAGTAATAAAGACACCATTTCCAATCTCCTTTTGAACGATAAACGGCCCCTCCCAATTCGGAGACCACTTCCCTAATTGATCTATGTTCTTGTATGTAGGAAGAATGGTTTTCCAAACCAGGTCTCCTTCTTGGAATGTCTTATAAAAGACTTTCCTTCCATAAGTCTTAGCCCTGATTTCACTCTGCCTCACAATCTAATCGACTGCATGGAGTCGATTGACATCCAAACTTTCCAATTGTTGCAACATAATTTG